CCTTGCCAAACAGACCATCCTTGGAAAGATGCGGCCGTTTGTCAAGATGAAAATGCTCGTATGGGGGGTCCCATAGTAGCAAGGGCGGCACGAGGCAAAAAAAATGGCTGCGGCGACAACGGCAAGCAAGGTTCGCAAGCATGTGGCATGACACAAGCTGCACCAAAGCCTCTCACAAGCGCTCCCTGCAGGCTACGGCCCAAGTCCAGAAACTGCATCTGCTGAGAATTTGGTTTTGAGCGCAATCAACAGCAACTCCGGCCGCGACCGCGCGCTCATTGGCGCGGACGCGACACGCAAAAGTAATTGACGCACTCCACCTCGAGTATCCGGCTCCCTGCAGAGCGTCAGAAGATTTGAGAGACTGTGAAAACATACTCATGGAGCGCTCGAACATGCTGCCGCTCAGATGCCAGAAGCAGGGGTGAAATGGTGCCGCGTCAGGTGGCCCAGGAAGCGCCAGTCCTTGTCACGCTGCACCCGGGACAGCGCCACGTAGGCGGCGGCCTCGACGTTTGGGACATCCAGCCGCAGGGTGATATGCGGCAATGTGGCACCTTGGACCTTCATGAGAGTGACCGCGTAGCCCAACCGCAGAGGCAAGTAGGTGGCCCGGCGCTGCTGTCCGCGAAGGAAGATCTCGTCATCCGTGTAGGGGAAGACGGACAGCACGTTGCCGCACTGCGTTCGGACCAACACGGAATTGCGCTGAATGCCAAGCACCGTGCATCCCATCCCGTTCACAAAGTTCTGCTCCTTCTGCAGATTGCGAGTGAGCGTGACCCGCATGCCCTGGTAAATGGGAACCTGCAGGGGCTCGCAGTCCACGAGCTGGCCGGCGTTGTCGTAGTTGCCGATGTTGCTCTCGTAGTCACCCGGCACACAGCAAAGCGGGGCCGCGTCGGGCTAGAGAGCTTGCACGGCCAAGTCGTTCAGGAGGGCGGCGCTGCGGCGAGTGATGGTCAGGAAAAGGGTCTGCGGGGTCTCGTGGAGGATGTCCTGTATGTCCAGCTCGGTGGGTTCGGGACTGACGCCGGGCCCACGATCCGCCATGGCCCGGTGCCCACGGAGGAATGCGCAGCAGCTGCTCCCGATCCGGCTTCGCAGTTCGAAGGAGCTCCAGCTTCCAGCGCAAGTCCGGGCACTTGCAGCGCCGCATGGTGCGCAGATGCCGCACGACGAATTGCTGCCAACGGGGGCTGTTGCACGCGCGAGTGCTGTCCATGCCCTGAAGCTGTGGAAGTCACCCAGGAAGATCAAGGCGGGCCGCCGGTCCGCGTTGTCCCACAGCCACAGCAGGCGCTCGACGGTCTGCTGGGACAGCTGGCCCACCTCGTCGACGACCACCATGTCAAAGGAAGACACGCAGTCCCAGGTTTGCTCCTGCGGAAGGTGGAGAAGGAACATGCCGCGCAGAGTGTCCACGTCCAAGCCAGGGAACTTGACGCGGTAAGCACTGGCCAGCATCCCAGTGGGGCACGCGATGCCCACGTGCGCCCCAGCTTCCGCCGCTCGACGGATGGCCACTTCCACCGTGCTCTTGCCAGAACCTGCAGGCCCCAGCACGCAGAAGGGGCGGGCGACCTGAGCGCGTGTGGTGCGCAGCTGCCGGATGAAATTCTGCATGGCAGCCCGATCTGCATCCTGCCAGGTAGGCGTCGATGACCCCGGCGCGACTCTCCAGCATGCTCAGGACGTTGGAGATGTGAGCGTCCCGGTGGCCCTCCAACTGCAGCTTGGCCTGGACGTTGTGAGGGCGTCGCCAGAAGCCAGGACGCTTCAAGAGGCAGAGTGCCAACATGCGATACCCTTCTGGAACGGCCAGAACTCGTGCGTCCCAGAGCTCGTCCATGGCGCGGAAGGGCACGTTCAAGAGGAGCCACTGCCCGAAGAAGCTCTCTTGGAAGGCGGAATCCATTGCGGCGGCCACGAGCACACGGCGCCGATTCTTACGTCTCTCGCCGGCTTCGGTGCACAGCCGAAGCGTGCAGTCCTCGGAGCGCCAGGCAGAAGCCATGTACAGCTGCTCCCACCGCGTTGGCTGGAACCCTCGCCACAGAGGACGGAGCACGACCCGTCGCAGGATGCCGGTCTGCAACACCTGCCTGAACCGCTGACCTCCCAGCTGCAGCCACACTTCGGGTTCCAAGGGGTGATACTCCATGAGCACCTTCCTGGCCAGTTGAAAATCGGTTGCCTCCTCGGTGGCGAACTGGTCGCTGAACTTCGCAGTGTAGGTCGAGGAGTACTGCAGGAGGAACACGCGGCCATCGCCCATCTGCACGTCCATGTGGCACTGCAGCGCCTGGAGAACATCCGGCAGGTAGGCGCGGACGTGGGCTGCGTGGGCATCTGCAGGATGGTGAAGAGGAAGCAGCCGAGCCTCGGCGTCATACTCTGTGGGGCCGCCAATACAAATGCGGCCAGACGGCAACCTCGAGGCCAACAGTCTCCATGAAACGAAGGGGCAGCCACGGCATGGGCGCCGAAGCCTCGATCTCCGCCTGATCCATGAGGCGCTGCCGAGCGTGCAGGTATTGGTCATGTGCTTGCAGAAAGGCTCCATAGGGGCAATCCTCGGCGCTCACCAGCCACTCGTAAGCGGTGCGGCCTTGGCACCACGCTGGCCGGGGCAGGCAGCTCAACCGCTCTTCCACAGTCGTTGGCTTCCAACTGAACCGCACGCAGCCAGTGTGCACCAAGTAGCCCTGTGGCGCACGCTCCGTGGGTCCGGTGTACACATCGAGCAAGGCCAGGGCGTCCAGAACCGCGTCAGGAAGATTGCGGAGAGGCGCCGGCACATCCGACGGCTGCGGAGCCCAGTACCCCACTCCTGCCTTGCAATATGAGCAAGCTTGTAAGCGAGTGTCCAGGCAACAGCACAGCCAAGATGTTTGGGGTGAAACTTTTGTGGCACCATCCGACTGCACTGCTGACTGCGCCTTCCGGGCTTCGAGGGCGGCTGTCCAAGCCTGGGGCCCAGTGGTGCGCCGACGGGCTCGCTTGGTGGCTCCCTTGCGCTGCAAGCGCAGGAGGCGCTCTTCACAGCTGTTCAGGCAGGGTCCAGCAAAATCCCGGATGCGCTGAGCTGCGCGGGGCAAGATGGCATCTGGGCTGTGCTAAGGCCGACGTCAAGAGACCCTTGCCGCGAGGGCAGCCCAGGCGCTGCCCAGCTGGTCAGGAGAGCAAAACATGCATCGAGGACCGCCTTCTGCTCGGTCTTGGTGAACACGAGACGGCTGTCCAACGTGTTGTGTGCTGAACACACAGGGCGAAGCGCCCTGCACTGCAGCGCTCGCCAGCGCAGGATCTTCGTGCCATGGCAGCTCCAGTTACACAAGCCGTGACACCGCACCTTGTGTGGTTCTAGCCTGGGCATGTCTGCATAGCCAGGGCCGACATGCGCAGCAGTGAAAGTCAACGTAAAGAGCAACCTTCAAGGCTAGATGACTACAGCAGCAACGTGCCAGATACATGCCAGCAAGGCCTGCAAAGGAATGTAGCCAGCATCAAGACAGCTTCGCAACACGCCAACACTTAGCATACTGATGAGGGCTGTCGCAGTTTTTTCTGCAATCCTGAAGCGCAAGCGTGTAGGTGCAACAGTGCCAGCCAGCCAGCAATCACTCGCAGTACGTTGCGGGCATGAGTGCCGGCAGGCCGGGACGTCTTGCTTGAAAGTGCTAGGTCCCAAAGGCCCCTCAGATAGCTGCCGGAAGATCAGCCGCCCTTGCGAAGGAGAACGACCTGGGCCACATCCGCAGCGAGCGTGGTGGCCGCCGCAATCTCCTTGCTGGTGCCGTCCTGGTAGAGCGCGCGCGCCGTCCAGTTTGCATACTCTTCCACAGAGCTTTGTGCTTCAAACAGTTTCATCAGCGCCTGCTCCACGGTAGCGCCGGCCTCGAGGTCAATAACATCGCATATGTCTGACTCTTTGACGGTAACGCGACCGTCTGTGGTGGCGCCCGTGGCCCGCCGGACCGTCAGCGTAGGGGCTCCGGCGGGCGGTGGCGGTGGAGGCGCAGAGGTCGTGGAGGATGAAGAAGAGCTGCTGCTGCGCTTCCGCTTCTTTTTGTCCTTCTTCGCCTTCTTGTCCTTCTTGTCCGACTTGGATTTCTTCTCGCTGTCCCTGCCTTCCTTGTCTTTCTTGTGCTTGCGAGACTTCTTTTTCTTCTTCTCGCTGGAGGTCGACGTACTCGAAGAAGGCTTCGCTGCTGCAGGTGCGGGCGCCTCATTGTCGGAGTCGTCGCCTCGCACCTCCCCCACGCGCTTCCAAGCGCTCTCAGACTTCTTGTGAGCGTTGTACATGTCCACAAGAAAGGTCGCGGCGCTGGCGATCTCGCTGCCACGGCTCCGGAAAGCGTCAAGCGCCTTCTGGTTGTACTCATCCGGCGGGACTTGCGCTGCCCAGGCATTCAGGGCGTCCGCCTTCACGAGACCATCCAGCGCGCGCAGGCCGCCCAGGTACAGAGACGCACCGTGTGCTGCCACGACCGCGAGGTGCTCGTAGAGCTCCTTCTTGTGGCGCTTGAAAAAGCTCAGCACGTTCACGAAAGCAGCGTGGCAGGCTCTCGGGTTGGTCTTAGCCTTCTCGAACTCCAGCTCGGCCATGTGACCCAGGAACTGCTTGCCGGCGGAGGTGCCCAGCAGCGCAGCGAGCTTCGCCTCGGACTTGCGGGCCTCCTCGTTTCCGAGCTGCTTGCCCAAGACCTTCACGGACAAGGCCATCATGCTGAACCCGTAGGCCGGCCTACGAGAGAGTTCTGAGGTGTCTGCCGTCAGCCAGGTGCGCATGGACTGCTTGCCCAGCGCTTCAATGTCCGTGTGATCTTCTCCATACACAACCGTCTCGGCGGCAGAGGCGTACGGGCGAAGTAGCTTCTTTGCCAGCAGCTCACGTCCGAGGAGCCGACGCTTCGCTGTGGACTCGTCCTCGGTGCCGCCAGACCAAGCGGGCGCCCACTGAGCCGCTTCCTGGCCCTTGTAGCCGTAGCCCTTACCGCGACCCATAGCCGCCGCGTCGTAGGCGCTGTAGCCGCCATAGCCCCAGCCGCCGCCGCTGCCGCCGCCGCTGCCGCCCCAGCCACCCTTTGCTCTTGCCGCCGAACTTTCCGCGAGGAAACGTGCTGGACAGAGCTTGCTAGAGGGCAGTACCTGCTGGATGACAAGAGATGCTGCAGCGCAGAAAACACGCCTGAGCTCAACTGTCACCTCTGCACGCATGTTCGCTGGTGGTGCTTGCAAAAGGAAACCATGCAGCTCGCCCGATCGAATGCGCAAGCGCAAGCAAACCTAAGGGGTCTGCTTTTTGCCGTGCTCGCAGGAAGAAGATCCAGGCCCGTTTCTCGGCAACGTGTAGGCCTAAGCCTCGCGCTCACTTCTTGGGCGCATGGCCGTCGTCAGACGACGAGAGATCTTCGATTTGCCGCCATGCCTTAGATGCACATCGCAAGGCCGGCGCTCTGCAGCAATATCTATTGAGAGCACACCAAGGCTGCGCTACAGCGAAGACCTCCACCGCAGCCATTGGGGATGCCTCAGACAATATCAACATGCAAGCTCAACTACGAGTCAAAGCAACACACTGCAACAGGTGCTGTCCAAAGGTACGGTTGAAGCGCGAAAGATCATCCACCAGGGTCCTTAGACTGAAGGTCGCTCTAGACACGCGCGAGTAGCGAACTGCTAACCGTTTCGGGAAAGCTGCATTCAGTCTCGTAAGGCGCTGCGAAGGGGGTAGGTGCCGGA